AAGAAGAAGAAGAAGAGGCGGTGGCCTTGGCGAAGAGCACACTCTTCGGGGCTCCGAACATTTCGAACGGATAGGCTACCAAACACACACACAACATCATCATCATCATCATCAACAACAACAACAGCGGCAACAACCAACAACAACAACGACCACGACTGTATTAACAGCAATGTTTATTTAAGTAACAGTATAGAAGCATAAGAGACTCAATTTGCAAAACGTTGAGGAGGTAGAAAAAGCTTATATTTACAGCTTCTCAGAGTTTGTTTAGACGATTAGGGAAAGCGATAAGTTGCGGTTTCGCAGGTTCAAGAAAGTAATCAATCTATGTCAGTAGCAACGCTTGCTGAATGAGGGAATTCTGTAGAGTATTCTTGAGCAAGACGAATTAATGGTTTCCAGTTTGTTTTTTGTTTTAAATTTTTAATTTTTTTAAAGTGATGTGAAGCTGCGAACAATATTTGGCCAGGGAGGAATTTGCTTTTGGGCTTTGGTTTGGTATTGTAAAGGATTTGTACGCCTCTTTCAGTGTGTTTTAATTATTCAAGAGGTCATTCGAAGAGAAAAAATTATGTATCTGTGTGAATCAAATATTCAACTAGTTCATATGTAAGAAATAATTCGCGCCATAAGTGTCCCTGGTCTTCACACTTGCTGTCAAGACATTTGTTCGCACTGGGTAAACAAAAGCTTTTTTGTTAACTTCGCCGAATACATGGGCACTTTGGTTTTCTCTCTTTACCACAGTACCCTATAACTTTTTTTTCGGCAGCTGTGTGTATGGAAATATGATGTAAAAAGGACTCTAAAAGACATGAAGAAGATTAATGACCTGTGAAGCAGAGTGCTAATTGCGATAAACTACTTGGTTTACTAGTTGTTACTATGAAAAATGGCTAATCTGACCACCAAAGACTCCTACTTACGAATTTTCTACGGCTATAGGAGGGAGCCAGACTGAGGAATAGGGAACCATAAAGGTAGTTATTCCACCATAACTGTTAGGATCCCACGTCAGTCTGGAATCCATCCAGTCCTGGGGAACACAGAAATGCTTTTGAGTGGTATTATCCATGAACAGAACTCATTTGCATGTTGTAGCTTGTTATGGTTATGGCTAGAAAATAGAAATACTGGGATCCGATTGAGAAAAATGGCTACGGTACCATGAAAAAATTATGAAATGATCTCTTGACCTACCGTTTTAATTAAAAGATAACCGAAACAATGTCTAATGACAACGAAGAATTCTACAGGCATTTAAATCTACAAGTGTCGGCAATAAATCAGACAGCTTCAACCGCTTTATTTTTAAGTATTGTTGAATAGTTGCAAGTAAAATAATAAACCTGACATTAATTGCAAACAGCATGTTGTTGCATTTTCTTGTTATTTCAAATATCTGGTGTAGTTTTCGTCCCAAATCAAAATACTTAGAGCGTATTTAGTACCTTCGACGACTGATGGGGGCAATTCATTTACCATGTTTATTTGAATAGCATTGTCATGTATGGATTCGATTCTGAGCCGTGTCAATAACTTGACCCTATTAGTTTGGATCCTTACGCCCAGTTGCCTAGAAGTATTTCGCTTTCGGAGAGAGAGAAGGAGAGAACAATAGGAATAGCCTGCAGAAATAATATCCGACCTTTGGGCCCCTTGCCTAGCCAAATTAATTGGGTCAATCAAACAAGGAGATTACTAGGCAGGCCTTTGGGTTTTCCTTTGACTTGGGAAAGGGGGGGGGGGGTTAAAGATTAGACAACTGATACCCCTTCAACATTTGAAAAAAAAATTGTTGATACATCACCCTATTCAATATGCTCCTGGACATAAAATGTTATCATCTTTCCCACTCAAAATAATGCTCGTACTACTTTGCTGGTGAGATCCCACTCTCATGCTGCAATAATAATAATAATTATTATTATTATATTATTAAT